TTTCATAGTTACCTATGAATTATTTTGTAAATACCCTGAACTGTCAGAATATTTTCGTGTTACATCCAGTTACCTACATCTGCGTATTTGTCTCTGTGTTTGTCAAATTAATAGTTTAAACATTTATTAAGTTGTAAAGTTATTAAAAATGTTCAGTTCGGATAGTGAGGAAGAAACTATCAGTTTCTGTACTCCTCCAGATTTAGTGGAAAGAGCTAATGAAGCAACGGCAGATTTACTACCCAATAAATAAAAAAAAATGAAGTATGTTATAAACGGTTCACAGAATGGTGTGAGACTAAATCTGTTGGAAATATTACAGAAAACGTAGTACTTGCATATTTAAAAGAAAAGTCGGAAATACTGAAGCCATCGACTTTGTGGTCAGAGTACTCAATGCTAAAGGCTACACTTTTAATAAACAATAATGTGGAAATTCGAAATTTTCAAAAATTAATTCCTTTTTTAAAGAAGAAGTCGGTAGGGTATCGCCCCAAAAAGTCCAAAGTTTTTTCAAGAGAGCAACTTGATAAGTTTTTAGTTGAAGCTCCCGACAGTAAATATTTAATGATGAAGGTAAAATATAAAAATAATCTTTTTTTAACTTTATACGTAGGTATTTGTTTCTTTTAGATAGTTGCAGTATTTGGGATTGCAGGAGCATGCCGCAGGGATAAGTTACAGAAACTTACTTTAAATGATATAAATAACATGAATTCTATCATAACAGTAAAAATTCCCGACAGCAAGACTAACAAACCTCGATCATTTGTAATAAGCGGACAAATTAGATCCTTTAATTTTGTGGAAATGTATCGCAAATATGCATCCTCCGTCTCCAATCAACAAGCCACAATAGATTTTTTATTAGATAGGTACTATGACGGAAAATGTTCCGTTCAACCTGTTGGTGTAAACACTTTTGGCAAAATCCCAAGTGATATTGCCAAATATTTAAATATTGAAAACCCAATGGAATACACGGGACACTACTTTCGCAGATCTTCTGCAACCGTACTAGTAGAATCCGGCGCAGATATATTAACTTTGAAACGGCACGGAGGGTGGAAATCCTCAACTGTAGCTGAGGGCTACATTGAGGAGTCTATTTCTAAAAAAACAGAAATAGCTGCTCAAATTCTTGAAGGTCAACCAAGTACCAGCACCGGAAGCTTCACAATACGAAAAAGAGGTGTTTCAAATGAAGAGCCAGTCAAAAATGAAACCAAAATTCAAAAAATTCAAAATATTGCTGGAAATTAAGTTTTTCCGTCACAAAACATAGTAAACTGCAATAACTGCGACATTAAAATTGAAATAAACTCAAAAAAGTAAAATAAAAGATTTTTGTTGTACCTTTTGTAAAATATTCTAATAAAATTTGATATAAGAGTATATTTTATTTCGATCGTAGAAAAAATATTGTGTGCAACACGTGCAAAAAGCATATTTGTTGCACTCAGCATGATTGCAGCTTTCGACTTCGTCTCAAGCTGCAAACTTCATGCTTCGTGCAACAAAGATACACTTTTTGCACTAGTTACACAAATAACTATTTAATTTCAATCTAAAAACTATTCAAATAAAAGTGTCCAAACATTACATACCACAGTTATCTATTATCACTAATAGTTTAACAAAACCAATATTTTTTTCTCTAAAAATATAATGAACAAAATATACAAAAGACTATTTAGAAGTAGGTAGCAACTAATGTTTATTAAGATTGCGATGATTATCTGATTAACTGGATCTTGGAATTATACTTCTGTTCTCAATTAACAAAAGCGTGTCAATCTGCATTCTAATTAATACCAAATTTTTACGAGCACGAGTTCTGGGTATTGTTGTGTAATATGATATTTTAAGATATTTTATATTAGGTCGTTATAATTAGGGACAAAATATGATTATAAATGATTAAATATTAAGTTTCTAACAACTTCTTTGAAGTTACGGATTTGATACTAAAATTAAAAGTCCAGGAGTTTTAGTTCATAACCATTTTTTAGGCTTTTAATTGCATTTTGACTTTTCTTTCTATCAACAACTTCACTTTTGGAGGGTATCCTACGTATTTGGGCCTTTAATTCTGATCTAGGCATTCTCATTGAATAATAATTAATTGGATTTAACTTTTCCTATGTTCGCAGGACTCGTAGCAGTTCTGTATACACTTATTATTATAATGTAAGTAATTAACCTATTTGAACAAAGTTGGGTATCGTCCTTGGAATATAAAGTAGTGGTCTCATCAGGAACATCAGTGACCATTTGTATAATAATGCAGTCTTCTCTTTGATATTCTATCGTTTTAAAAATGGAACTCATTTCGAAATTTACTAATAGGTACCTATCAATATTATGTTTCACTTTTCGTATGGAATATTAAAATCAGAAAGGAGATAAATTAATGATTGCTGATTTTTCGAAGAAAATGGACCAGTTTATCTATATATGTGAAATTATTAAATATTATTAAGTATCAGAATTCACGCCTCACATTGTTGTGCAAATATTCAAGATATTGATCTTAAATCCCTTAGTATATAGGGTGTTACTGAATTACATGTGCCCATGGGCGTCGTTACACAATTCTATAGGGAGGGGCAACATTTTTAAAAAATTTAGAATGTTTATTTGTTGGAAAACAAAGAAAATCAAAAATAAAAGAGAATTTTAATATGATGGATTTAATTATTGTGTGACGGTTTTTCCAGAAATAACAGAAAATCGCAATTTATTTTTTATTTTTAAATGAAAACCCTTTTTCTTATTGAAAATTTGAATTGCTGGGACATTTTTGTATAAAAAGCGTGTAATGAAAATTTTCTGTCAGTAACATATTAAAAAAAAATATTTTCCAATATAATGGTTATTTTGACAGATGACAGAAAATTTTCAACACATGATTCTTATCAATAAATGTCCATAAAATTTAAATTTTCAATAAAAACGGGGGTTTCTATTTAAAAATTAAAAATAAATTAAGATTTTCTATTATTTCCAATAAAACAGAAGTAAACCATGAAGTCACACACCAATTGAATCCAGTATATGAGAGTATCTGTCCCAAGCTTTTAAACAACTAAGTTTTCATTCCAATATCTCAATTAACAATGAAAATAAAAGCGGAAGGGCCATCCTACGCCTGAATTTTTAAGCAAAAACAGCGGTTAAGCTCGTGCGCAATTATAACTTTATTTTTCGAAATTACTGCTTGTGCAGGTGACGAAAGAAAAGGTATTTCTAGGGATGTATAAGAACAAAATGATTAAATTTTTTTTAAAGATTGCTATTATTCAAACTAGAAAAGGTGACAATATTACGTATTTTAAGGCGCTAATCATGTCGTTATAAGAAATAATTTGGAAAATCTAATTCTATATATCCCTGCTGCAAACCTTTAACTTTGTATGAAAATGTTCTTTCTTCAAAAAAGTCCAAAAATAAGTCAGTAATCGCGCACGGCCTGACCCTCTGCAAGTAACATTTTTCTAACCGTAATGTGGCGCCCTCCGCACTGAAATCTATTAACAACAAAACTAATAGATGTTTTACATTTTGGAAGGACTAAAAAATTTTGTAAGCCCTTTATTAATTAAAGTCTCCAGTTGGGTATATACTAATTTGTGTGCAAATGTATAAAATTTTGTTTTTTTTGGATTCTTTTTTAATTATAAAATTACAAATTACAATTAAAACAGAGGGAAAAGCCATTTGTAGGTCTCATTAATATTAGACAATACATCATTATCAATTTATTTTAAATATTCAATAAAGTAGAAAAACAAAAAGAAAACTATATTTTAAAAACAGTTTGAATATTTTATCGGAACAACAATGTTGCTACAATACCGAAAATAATAAACATGGAGGTACTTATATAATATTATATATGAATAAAAAAAAAATAACACAAAGTTATGACTAAGAAAACTAAAACTAAAATAATATAATTTTGAAACTTTGTATACAGTTATTGTTTATTAAGGTGTTTCTTTCTGATTCTTCTTATTTTTTTTTACAGCCGCTATTATATATTTCGATTTTTTAATAGGCATATTTCTAAATTTTCTAGAATCTATAATTCCCGGTAAAATACAGTCAAAATAAAATTGACAAAGTACCGGTTTCATGCTTTTTACCCAGAACTCAGGATCACGAAATATGGTGTCAGTTTTTAAACCGTGAGTTTAGGAACAGGAACAGAAAATACACAGTATGATCATCTGGAACTTTACAGTTGTCCTTGCACCTGATAATACCATTTGTACATTTTATTGATCGGGTAGGTGGTGTAGCGGTCTAACGCGCTTATATTCATTTATAAGCAAGTTTATGTGTCAGAGACTGCTGGACTTCGAATCCCAGACCATGTAAATTTTTAATTAAATTACATGGTTCGGTATAGGATTTGATGTGTGCCGTATTAATAGAAATTTAATTTCTGTTGATATGACATGTAGATTATAAAAAATCGCCATACATTACCGTCTCGATGATGGTGGGTGAGGTTTTCTGAGTTTTCCCCACCTGTAAGTCAAATGGCACCATCAATCATCTTTAAGTCGCCCCGGAGCGCCACGGCAAATAATAATAAAAGCCGTCCCTTTCCCCGCACAAGCTCAGCTTTTGGGGTTAAAATTTACTCGTAAGGGGGTGAATTAGGGAGAGTATTATTATTATTATTAATGTCGCCGTTTTTCGACCAAAAGGTAATTTTTTTGTTTGAATACCTTCTTCAGGCGTCATATTCCGCGCTGAATATGGGTATTTAATTTCGATAATGCCTCTGTCATCTATTAGGCCATCAGGAGTATCGGCTAAAAAGGAACTTTCCTCATCTATGAAAAGAACACATTTTCTAATCGGTTTGCCAATTGTTTTTTATAGTTGCTCTATTGCTACTTTTACATTTTTTTGCCATAATCGCAAGCCGCTGAGAAAAATACCTTTATGTGCAAGATAGCTTCCACTAGCGACCTTCTTTTACATACTGATCCAAACATAGCAGCAATCAGACGTTTTCTTCTTTCCAAAACCCAAATATCGGAATCTGCCTGCTCCCGTGTTAAGCTTTCTATTTCTAAGATTTCTTCATTATTTTTTTTAATTTCTCCTAGAAATTTAGTTTTAGCTTCTAAATATTCTGAGCCAGTCATGTCAGGCTTTTCACATTTCTGACCGTAACTTTCACATCCATCTGTAAATTTGTTTTTTGTGCAAACTTTAACTTTCGACAAACTCGTGGCTTAGCTTTTCTATTTTTTGTTTTTTAATTTGCCTAAGTTCAAGTTTTGATGAAATCTTAGTAGAAGTTGTACTATTATTAAAATATTTTGTATTATAGCTTACAACGGCTGCTGCACATCTACTTTGATAAGATCTTTTTTTGCAATAATTCATTCTTTTGCCTCCTATAAATTTCGCTATTATAGAATTGAATATGATAAATAAATTTAAAAAATTCTGATTACTTGCCTGTTAATTGTAAATCTTTCATTACAGTTTCTGTTGGCTTGAAGGGCCTCAATAATATGGTCCCCTAATTATAATGTGCACGTTTTAACTTTAGAAAAGGTTCAGCGACGTTTCCTTAAGAGTCTTCATTATTATTTTCATGGAACTTACCCTGAGAGGGGATACCCACAAGACCAGCTTTTAACAATGTTTGGAATGCAGAGCTTATTTCAACGAAGAATTATATCTTCAATTATTTTCATTTTTAAAATAGTACACCATTTAATTAAATGCCCGGCTTTATGTGCTCAGCTTAACTTCCTAGTTCCAAGAATTAATTCCAGGTACAGCTGCACATTCATTCTTCCCACTCCCAGAACAAACTTATTATGTCAGTCTCCATTGTACCATATGCTGTCCACGGTTAATGACTCGAGTAAAGAAATTGATCTATTTTGTACTACCATCTCAAAGATTAAAAAACTTTATTCCTGATTTATATCCATATATTCCTAATTAAAATATTTAGTGTAATGTAATTTAGTGTAATTAAGTTTTTTATGTTTTTGTATCTAATTTCATCTTTATATATTAGTTGTTTCGCATGCGATATGTGTGAGTAACCTTTTTTCTCCACTGGAGTTTTTTTCAGATTACTCATACAATCTCATTTATAGTTTTACTTTAAAATTTGTTTTGCTTTTATTGTATTATTTACAAATATATGTTTATTAATGTTAAGTGCGCATTCTGTAATAGGCCTTGGCCGTTGAATGTAAGATTAAATAAATAAATAAATAAATAAATAAATAAATACAGAAGTATCCTATAGATTTACATTCTTTGTGTTCCCTAAATACGTGACTTAATGAGTTGTTTATGTCCCTCTTTAAATTTTCGATTTTTTGTGAAACAGACAAACTTTCGTCATCTTTCCGATGTTGTATGGATTTATTAACTGCCACCCTCAATCTAATCTGATTTTGCTAAAATTTAAATAAATATTTCTTACTCTCGGTCAGTAAAATTCTAAAGTTGTTAAATTATTTAATTATTAATAACTACTTTTTATGTAGACTATTCATAAAAAAAAATATTAGAGTAATAATAGTATATTATGCAACGATCATGTAATGATGGTTATTAATAAACGAGCATTAACCGGGATACGAAACGAGCCAAATGCGAGTTTCGTATGGTTTAGGCGAGTGTATTAATAACCATTACATGAGAGTTGCATACGCTATTTTTTCTACACCCGATAAATAATCAAGAACTATAAATATTATATTTATATTGGTATTGAACACAATAACAGTAATTACTCGTATTTCTATAAAAAATTCTACAAAATTGTAATTAATGGTATTACCTTGGGTATTGGTATTACCATAGATTTTTTGGGCAAATTATTGTGTACTGCATTTTCTCCTTTCTCCGATATGTGTGGAGGAGTCTTCTATATCGCTGATATCAGACATGTTGATAATATAATTATCGAAGTTTAGCTATCTACGAAAATTTAATACGTTTTGACAACTAAGACAATTACATAGGAACCTAGGACAAACGTCAAAGAACATGCTTGATTGAAAAATTGTAGGTTTCTATTGATTAAAAATCTGTATCGTAATGAAAAATCTGTATCATAATGGGTATCATTATGAAACGGATTTTGAGCATATAAGTGCATTATTATAATACGGGTGTAGAAAAACTAATTAATGACACTGCATAAAAATAAAACTGTTTTCTTCCCATCTGAAAATGAAATCCGCCAGTGATCAAAGAAAAAACAAAAATATATACCTCTACTTTTTTCCTGAGGATCAAAGGTCCAGCTTTTGTATCTTTAACTAATTCTCTAATTTTTTGGAGTAGTAAATTGTTTTCACATTCAATTTTTTTCAATAGGACCTGGGAATATGGATGAATATCTAGTATCCCTTTTAAGTATTACTGTTTCCATCAGCGATGACTTTATGGTATATCAAATTGTACATAGCCACACTTGCTGCAGAACCAGACCAGTTTTTATAATATTTATGCGCCATTCTGTATTATTCATTTTTTTTAATGAGAAATTGCAAAGCGTACAAAACTTATTTCGCACGCCGAGGAAAAGAACTTTTTTTCGTTGTAAAGCCAAATATTGCTACTGCTGCTCCTTATAACGAGTTGTAGCTGCTTCCGTAGGAAAGTTTTGCTCAACTACCGTCTACAACGATAGTTATTAAAGGTGTTCTATTCTTGTCCACATCACCTTCAGCAATTGCTAACCTTCGCTTTTCTTCGGCAGCGTCTTTCATTATTTGCATACTCGTTTCCTCCAAAGCATCAGAAATTTTATCGTGAACTTTACTGTAAAGTCTCTGTGACATACATGGTATGTCTAGAGAGACACTAATTTGTTCTAAATGAGCAAATGCTGAGCCGATTGACGTTACACCTATCACTGCATCTTTATTTACATTGTCTTGGGTATCTTGCGAGGTTGTAATTTGAAATGTCATATTGCACATGCTACATTTAACATGTAGATTAGAAATGAGACCTTTCCTTCTTTTTTTTCTGTATGAGCATATTTAAAAGAGAACAACCGAATTCAGTCAAATGATTAGAAAAACTTATTAGTGAGTTTATGAAATAGTTTAATTCTACTATACGTCGACCTTCTAAAATTATTGAAGATAGAAGGATTATAAATTGACTCTAGCCCATTTTTATCTGCAACTTGTTCTTTAACTCTTTCCTAAAAATACAAAAACGTAAGATATTTTAAAAGCTTTTGGTATTTTTTTTACATTAAAAAAATAAAAACTAGCACTGTTACTTTCCCTCAAAGTGCATAGATCAATGGGAAAATTGGAGGTCTTATTTTTTCAACATCCTAAAACTCCACAACAATGACTTTATTGAAATTGTAAATCTCATGTTTGCATAACGAATTTTTTTTTCATTTTTAAATTTTAACAAGACCCCCCTTAACTTACACTTTTAATTTTACGAAGAATTAGAGTTTATTATAATAAATAAATATTCAAAATATGACATGACCTTTCTATTTTTTTTATTTTTATCGTTTAAAACCCTTTCTAACGTTCATTAATGAGTTTGTTTTGAAAAAAAAAATTAACTTTTTTGTATGACTATTTAAACATTGAATACTCCAGAAAAAGTACGTCAATGAGTTAACATTGTGAATAAAAAAAGACCTTTGTAAAATTTTATTTGAATCTGTTTGTTCGTTTTTTACGATTTTATTAAATTTTCAAATTAATTATAACCTTAGAGTACGCGTATAAATTTAATATTTTGAAAAATAAAAATAATGATCTACTAAAATATTTTTGCAAAATTTAGTTTAAATCTGCCATTTCTATCTTTTTATGTTTTTTTTTTTTAATGTTAAACCCCCTAAAACCTCCTTCCTAAGTTCCGATTTTGTTCAAAAAGCAATCAGCTCTAGAATTTCACATTTGAGATTTTTGGTGAAAATTTCATGAACATAATATAATTTGATTAGGTATTTATTAATATATTAATAATAAAACCTACCTGAACCTCACTATTACTTTTAATTTATTTTGTTACAGTCAGATTCTCTGATGTCATAATTGGTGTAAGCTGTAATTGAAAAATTTATGTAATTATAAGTATATAAGATTAGTTTTATTTTTTACCTCTTTTCTTGAAGGAAAATGTTTACGCTGTCGTCTCTTTGTTCTTGATCTTAGATGGACCTTATTTTCCTTACGATGAAATGGTTCTTTTTTCTTTTGTAACTTACCCATTTCTAAATTATTTCAAACGTCTTTAAATATTAGGACACCACCACAATAAAAATATAATTAATGAATAAATCGCGCAGCGTACGTAAATAAACTCCTGTCCTGATAAGTCTCTCGCAGGAGACCGAATAGTTTATCACTCTAATAATGCTTTAAGTAGGAACGGAATAAACAATCTACAGACACGTCTTCGTCAAGTGTGAAATTTGCAACTGCCCGCATCCCCCTGACAATTTTAAGTAAGGGATCGGTTGGAAGATTACTCTTAAATGGTTTTCTAATAATAAAAATGCTTAGATACGCCACTGGTATATGGTAAATGGGTCTCAATGGTGAAGCCTAAAAAGATTTTATAAAGTCCGTACATTCCATTCCATAAACGAATTAATAGTAACATATTTAGAAAACATATCAATATGGCGGCCATTTTGACAGCTGACAGAAAATTGTCAATACACGATTATTATACAAAAATGGCCCAGAAATTAAAATTTACAATAAAAAAAGGGTTTTCTTTTAAAATTAAAAAAAATCGATTTTCTGTTAATTTCGGAAAAACCGGAAGTAATCTTTGACGTCACAGAACAATTGAATCCATCATAAGAAATTATTTATTCTAGTCTTTCAAACAGATTAAAATTATTGCGATATCTCACTGAATAGCGAAGATAAGAGGGAGGGGAACTTTAGTAGTAACCCTAACAATGTTACTGACCTATTTGACAGAACTGATACTTAAGTTGTCATAACAAGTCTCTAATAAATAAAATTACCCAACAAAAAAGACAAAAACTAAAATAAAGGAAAAACAAGAAACTTAAAACACATTTTTAAAAAACAAACAGAAGGTGTGATATAAAAGAAAAATATGAACAAGAAGACAGATCCATACATATTAATATAAAAAATAAAAATTTATAAAAAAACAAAAACATAAAAAAACTCACTCAAACACGACGATGAACACACAAAAAACACTAGGGAAACGCAAATTTTAAATTTCTTTTTGCTCTACTAAAAACATCGATAACAGAACACATTATTTATTTTTCAGTCAGCCTATTTTCATTTATTATTCGCTCCGTGCGTGACAGCAGCGCCAACTATTTTATGAACTAACGGATGATATTTGCGTATACCGACAATACAATTCTTAATAGAGTTTATAATTAAAAAATATATATGTTAATTTTAATAAAAGTATATGGATTTGTAAAACAAGTGAAAAAATTATTATTATATATTTTTATTACTTCAGCTAAAAAAAGTAGTATAATCAATAAAAATCAATAATAAAACATAGACAGGGATTTACGAGAAAATATATGAGATCTTGCCTAAGCCTAATAAGTTGTCATTGAAGAATAGGTTAAATAATGTCAAAATAAAAACATTACCATTATATAGTAACGTAAAATTAAAACGTATTAGCAAAAATAATTGGTATATTTGTGATTGTAATTTATATTTTCTTCATTTTTAGTTCGAAAGAACCCATAGAAATTAATAATTAAAACTGGTTTTCTATCAATAAGTCACAAGATTGCATTTCAGCCATATACAATAATCAAAGGTACAAATCTAATCATTTGCTAAACATTTAAGATTTAAAGGATGTTGAAAAATATCATAAAATAATAATTTATTGTTTATTTAAAAACTTTTCTGATGTCTATTATTTCCAGTATTACTGTTATTATTACAAACATAAAGGTTTTTTTTTATTATACAGCTGTCCATTTATTTCTTTGATTTAATTTCGATTTTGCTACTAAAAATTTATATAATTTACAGTTGTTTTTTTGATAGTACAATTTGCAACATAGCAACTCCGGTTGCTTATTTTATTGTTTTTAGGGTTGATCTTTTCACCTCTGAGTAAAGTTACATGTAGGTTTACTTGACAGATTAACAAGCAATAACCCTATAGTTTAATCAGCAAGTAGTTACTTTCAACTTTACTCAGAGGTGAAAACACTGGCCCTTAAGCTATTATTTTTAGTAAAAAGTAAAATGTATACGTGTATTTGATACGCCAACATTACAAAATATCGCCCTAAAGTACTCGAATTATTCGCAGCTTGCGCTAGTATCGCTTTTGCTTCTCCTACCATGACTTCGCACTGATCGAATATACCGCAGCCATGTTTTAACATGCCTTAGCGTGCTAAACGTTCTTTCGATTAACTCTGTCGTTGGTGGAAGAGCCATAAATAATTTTTAAACCACTTTGTATGTCTAGATAAAATTCACAATGTTTGGACGCTATATTATTAATGGAGAGCTCATTGTATGCAGAAAGCTCTTTCGTACTCCAGTTTGGTATTCAGCTTCAGAATTGTCGATTCCAAATTTTTCCACTACTTTCATGTTCTAATCGGTAGTGAAAAAAGTAATTTTTTATGTTTTTGGGATGTAACAGGCTTAAGGAAAAACTAACAGAGTCTTCGGAAAAGCATGATGTAAGCGACGTATGGAAATCCAGATTTGCAATAAATATATTCAACCTATAATATTCTTCAACTAAATTAGCCTGAATATTATTATTTCTATGAGATTGTTGTTCATAATGCATATCTTACGCGTTGTTGATTCGTAAAATCCAGGGGGGGGGCAACTGCTCCCCCTTGCCCCCCCAAATGACGCCCATGCATGTACCGTATCTAAGGATCCGTTTAAAGTTTAGATCCGGAAAACAAATTTCAATGACTAAAGAGGCTAAGAGGAAAACCTAGATAGCGTCCTAAACAACATAAAGTAAAATACTACTTATATACAAAATTTACCAAATTGGTCTTCTAAAAATTTGTAAATTGGGATTTTCAAAAGATTATGCATATTTTGCATAGAATAATTGTCTCCTATATTGTCTTATGAGGTAGCGGGGACCGTAAATTAAACAAATGCGAGGGGGCATCGAAATTCTTACAATTCATGGGATTTTTCCAGGACCTCGTAAGTCTCAAAATCAACTTTTTTCAGAAGAAGAGAAAAACGACTTACAAGTGCATAGAAAAATCTATTTTACTGTATAATAGGACTAATATTTAACCATGTTTTGTTTAAAAATAATTTTAATAATTCCCCAATACAGAACAAGGGAGATGGCTCTAAGAGCCTGCCCCCCTACCGTTAGGCATAGGGCTTTTGATACCCAATATCTAGCGAAACCACTGTCAAAGGAACCTATCCCAACTCCGCACTCAAAATTAGCGGGGCCAGACCGTCTTTTTTTTATTGTTATTAGTTACATTTGGTTACACTTAATTATAATAAGTTACCTTTCTAGGTTTACACGTGAGAATGTACATAATTAATTAATGAGGACCTAAATGTGTTTAGAATTTTGTGTCGAAAAGTTCTTAAATACAAACGCAACTGCCAGATGCCCTCTTGGAGCTATTCCCCTGGGTCGTCGTCTTTGATTATTTCGTCCACCTATTCGTTTGTTTATCTGGCCAAGTCTTCGTTTGTCAGGTCTATATCTTGTGGCAGGTAATCCAATGCTTTTTCGTTTAGTCTTCGTCTAAGGTCCGTATTTATAAACAGATCTCAGCCAAGTCTGACTCAGCTGAGTCGTCCTTGAACGAAAATCTAAGTTCGGCTATATCGCGTGAATTTAGAGATGGGTAGTAACAAATCCGTAAATTTACTTAACAGTTACAGATTTGCTACTATCCATCTCTAAATTGCAGTGTAACACCGGAACAACCTGGAACTTTGGAGGAGTT